GTCGCAGGTGGTCTCAGTTGTTGTTCTGAAATAAGCATTTTAAAATGTTTTCAAAATAAGTCTGGCACTTTAGAGAAAATCCAGGACTCGCTGGAGGGAGGGATTATGTATCCCCTCTGGCCTGGGAATGTCTCGGAGTCCCCCAGGATGAGCTGGAAGGTGTCGCTGGGGAGAGGGAAGTCTGGGTAGCCGAGACCCGATCCAGGATAAGCCGGCCCGACGGACAATTTATATTGCTAGTCTAAATTATTACATTTAAAATCATACAGTAACTCTAATTCAAGCAGAATAGCCTATTGCCAACATAATTTTGGAGTGTAATTTAATTTCAACTCAAAACATCTCCAAACTAACGAAATATAAGTATATCAATACTTATTTTACCCACTATATATACAAAGCAAATATAAAGCTTAAAATAAATTCTTGTGCGACAGTTTTTTATGCTGCTTAACAACTGTACTGCACTCATATATATTTGTCTATCTGTGGTGTCTAAAACCAGTAGCTACATTGTCTGTTTGTGTTTTGCTGTATTCATAACCAGAAGGGATTTCAGCAACATCAGCATATTTGAGATGAATAATTTTTCTGAACAGGAAAAACAAAATGAAACAAAAAATGTAAAGGACTAAGAACCTGTTTATTAAGCCAGAAACTTCAGCATCTGTAAAAATAAACAACCACATTTATCTCCAGCTGGTGTTTTTATGGTCATCTGATGTAACGTGGATAAAAATCCTGCCTCTTGCCCCCACCTTGCACCTCTTAACTTTATTCTTCCTCCTGGTGTTTGAGCTCATTATTCCCCTGAGGCTTTTCCATCCACAGCACAGTTTAGTTTACCAGGCACCGTGCAGCTGCTAACCACGACACACAGCACCACCTCCTCCGCCGCTGCCTGTGGTTGCAACTCTCCTCATCTCATGATGTTGATGTTGTCGTGGACACAAACCGGCTCAGCAGCTGGAAGAGAACCAGAGAAAACAAGGCATGAAGGAACTATTAAACTAAGGTAAACGTTAGAAAACACAAAGACAATGAAGAAATAATATTACTCATGGCCCTGTTAATGCTTTGCACTATAGGCTAACTGGATTATAAACAGATTGCTTTAAGTGGCACTGTTAGCACGTGCAGTCACATCTCATTTTCAAATAGTGACTGGATTTCTGTTGAATATTTATTATGGACATAAAAATGTGGCCTACATCACATAACCAACTGTGAGCTGAGTAAAGTACATGAAATCAGGTGGTTCACTAAAGACTTTTTTAAATGGGCTGAATATAGAGACATGGATATGTTTGCAATCTTGTTAAAGTAACAGACACAATATCAGAGGCATAAAGGAGCGCAAAATAAAAGTTTAAAAATCTACAGTTTTTATTCACTTTGTCACTGAACAACAAAAACATCTGATCCAACAACTCAAAACATCCATCTGCACCTTCCTGATAATGCAACACATTACTGACTCACTTCAACAACTGATATTTACCTCTGCCATGCTACATTAAGGCTGGGCAGACAGCCACACAGACAGGCACTGCTTCTGATCTCGCAGCAAACTGTACCTGCTATAGCAGAGGGGAGACAGTCCAACCAAAAAATAAATAAATAAAAACAGACTAGGCCCAGTACATTACCTACACAAAATGTGACACCACATTAAATGCATTTAGAAAAAAAAAAGACATCTATCAAGCAAGTTATCTTTGGGATTGTGTGTTGAATATTGTACAAAAAAGAGGTTACTACATGTATATCCAGTAAAATTATAAACATACAGCAAATGAAATCCACACGAAAAAGAAAACCTATATGACTTATACATGACATTTGAAAATGAAATAAAGGCGTATAAGATAACAGATAATAATAATAATAATAATAATAATAATAATAATAATAATAATAATAATAATAATAATAATAATAACACATTTTTTTTATAAAGTGCCTTTCAGGACACCCAAGGACACTGTATAATAGAAAAAAGTAAAATGAAATTAAAAAAAATTGTAGATACATATAACGATAAGGGTAGTGTGGGAGAAACAGAAATGTGGAGTACAGAACAGTCATATATTAAAATACAATAATGTAGACAAATTGTATTGTATTATATGACTGTTCTGTACTCCACATTTCTCATTATTCCCTCAGGGGAATATAGAGCTTAAAGAGACGATACAAGGAAGAGTAAAAGTAAGACATTAGCAAGAGAGAGATTGGTGTTCAACAGGATTGATGTGTGTAAAAAGGCAGGTGACAGCTTGAGAATGTATATCCAATAAACAAAAGAGGCATGTCCATGATGGAAAATAGCTTCGCTGGCATCCTCAACTTGCCCACTTCCTTCTGGGAGAGCAGCTCAGGACTAAACTGACCCTAATGACACATTTTTTTCGTCACTTCTAGTCCTCCTCAGAACTTTCACAGAGCACCACATGAAAACACAGTGGAAGGCACAACACTGCCATAAAATAAGCACAAGGAGGTTTGAGCTTCCCCAACAGAGTTGACTTCACTTCACAGCCACTAGACAAGATGCTCTGACCAGTTCAACCAGGCGTGCCGCTTCAACTGAGCAGCAAGTTGAAATCAAATCGTGATGCTGATGTCCAACATCTACAGCAATTATGTTTTACGACATAAATCCACAGCTGAACAGGTTTTACCTTAATAAGTGTCAGCAAGAGCCAATCAAAAAACAATTTGATGTCAAATTCATTCAACTGCAATAGAATTGCATGTCCAAAAAATGGTACCACAAAGGTTTATACATAGTGTAACTTAATGTTTGCATATTTTTAGTTCAGTCAAACTACCTAATCCCAGCTCAAAAACTAAATAATACATAAAGTTACCAAACAAACCAGAGCATGTAGTTTTTTTGCATCCAGTTTTATAACCTGTGGACACAATCAGTTACCATTTCTGAATTAAACATGATTTACAAAAACAACTTCACTTTGAGGACTTTTCATTAAGGTCACTGTGAACTGACCATGTTTTGCTGAGTCATAATGGGCTTCATCTGCTCAGACTAAACAAATCAAAGAGAATTTTACTCCCTGGGAAACGACTTGCAGCTAGGGAAACAAATGCTGTAAAAAGTGCCCTACAGTTTTGGCTACACAACAGACAATAGACCTTCTCCCTGAGGCTTTATGAATGGCTGGAAAAATAAAACAGCGGTTTGAGGCCATTCTTACTTAAAGCCTTTAGCACATATTTTGACATACTTTTGAAATATTAGACTCACTGTAGTGAAAAGTCAACACAAAACTGTGGAGAAAACAAAATGTTTTGTGTATCTTCTATTTTTTCTTACTTAATATCAGTTGGGTGTTGATCTTTTTTTTTTCTTTTAAAGAAATGACCCAAAAGTAGAGCACATTCTCCTTCACACAAAGTCAGCAGATTTAAAATCCGTCTAAATGTGGTGATTTTTATCGTAACAAGATAATGAGTCACAATTTATGCCTTGTTAATAGTATGTGTGGGGAGGATTGTTACAAAAAATAATAATTGCATGGAGACATTTTTGTTGATTTTGTTACATATGTAAGACATATGTTTAAAATACATGTGATTTGTTCTCATTCAAAAAACATTCAATTTTTGTTCTTTAGCACAAACAAAACAGTAAAATCAACTAAAATCCTTTAAGTGTGATAATGAGTCAATAAATGTGGTTAAATATGAACGCATGCAAAAATCAGGTCATACTTGAATTAAAGTAATAATGTATGCAAAGACCTAAACATAAATTATTTGATGTCAGTTCTTGTTCGTTCTCGTTATATTATGACTTTAATATTGTAATATTATAACTTTTTAACTTTTTATAACTTTTAACCTACCTCCCCCTCCTTAGCTGCTCCTTTTGCAGAGTAGTTGTTTTGTGCGCATGCTCGTGTGTTTTTTTTTTTTTGTATAAAACAGGATCAAAGCTCTTTTTTAAACTCATCTTTCCTATGTGTGTGTATTCTAAACTGCAAGGTAGCACACTACGTTGCGCAGGGCCATGGACATCCATCCCCCGTGTCTGTCATGTGTGTGTGTTTCTTCGGACGGATGTTCTAAACTGCAATTTCATTCTGCACTGCATCTTGATGTTGTGTGTGAATGACAATTAAATGTTTCTGATTCTGAATCTTTATTCTTGTATGACTTTATTTGCATAGTATTGTGACTTAAATCTCTTAAATAAATAAATAAATAAATATTGTAGTGTGGCCCTAACAGTCTGTCGTAATAAAAAACATCTAAAGCCTAATTATTTTTCCTGCTCAAAATGAAACAAACACTTCAGCTATAGCAGCTCAGATGCTGACACAAGTGGTTTTCTGTGAGTGAACATTTTTGATTTTTTTCACAAATATTTTTATTGTGATCAAATTCTCAACAAAACATGTCACAAAGCAGTTCCCAGTGACTGATTAGTACGCAGTTTGTTTGCAGCATCAGTTTTTCAAGACACAGTGATCTGAGATGAATAATATCACAATAAATGCCAAATTCTAAAATTCTAGATGCCTTTAGTTTTTTTTTTTCAATTAATAGAATTTTGTACAGGGAATAAACATATTTGGGCATCTTTCTAGTACTACAAATTGATTTTTCTGATTAAAGACCTCGCATGTGGTGCAGCAAGATAAATTACAGTCCTCAATTACCAACACAGTTATATTTTATGTCAAAGATATAGACAAGAGGCCAAATAGTGAGTCTGCTTTGTTGATGCCATTCATCATCCTGTTAAGAGTTAAGAAGATAAATTAGTCATTTACCCTTTTAAGTGGAGTAGCACTTTTCACACTTACATACAGTATATTGGCTGTTTCAATTCTATTATTATTTTTCTATTATTGTCTGTTTTCTCTTTCTTAAATTAAAATTATTACAATCATATGCAGTGTATATGAAAGTGTGCAGATTTTCTAAAAGTGCATCATCCATTTCTGCAAAAGCCCCAAAGCTCAAACTGCTCAGGCTCACAGCAACAAAACCACAAACGGCTTCTCCTCTAAAGTAAACAATTCTATGAAAAAAAAAGAAGAATCAAACAGGGAAACCAATTCACTCCAGTGACCTTTTTCTTTCAGGACAAAGACTTGAAACTATGATTAAGTCACTGAAAGCACCAGATGAACCGTCTGATGGATTCCACGGTGCTTTGTCTTCTGGGTTTGATGAAGTGGTTCTGCTTTTAGCCCACTCCGAATTTCTTTAAACACTGTGCAGCAGCAAGATGTCTTAAAAGCTTGTGACTGATTATATTTAAATGCCTGACAGTGACAGGAGCTTATTTATGTCAGGAGCTCAGTTAAATTTCATCATTTAGCAAATATAAACGCAAACGCAAATTTTAAATGAGTAAGTACTTTTATTTGTATTTAAAAGTAATATACATTGTCATAGATCTTTTTTATGAATAATATTAAAATAAAAGTTATTGTTTGCTAAGTCAGATGCATTTCGGAATTTAGAGGTCACCTTTCATGCTAGCAGATGTGGGCAGAAACTAGTTACATTTACTTGAGTAACTTTTTTGGGGGAAAATCTTTAGGAGTAGTTTCGGTGCACCATATTTTTTACTTTACTAGTATTATTATAAAGTATCAATACTTTTACTTGAATGAAATTTCTGAATACTTTATCCACCATAGGAAGATTTTGTAATTATATTATTTATTTGTATTGATTTTCTTCATTTTAGTTAAAAAAAAGAATTTGATTGTCCCATTTTATTTTATTTTTTTCTTTTTGGTCAGTCTGATGACTTCATTTGGGATGATAATTGGTAACACTATGTTCAGAGACAAAAGGAATGGTCCAGATGTCATCTCTACTCTCTTCGATGTGCAACTAGGGTCAAGTAGTTAGAAGAGTGTCTTTTTAAGGGTTTTTACACACTTAAAACTAAACTCTAAATTATAGTTTTTTTAAAAACC